TCAAGCTGGTGGATAACCGACCTGGTAGACAGCCACGCGGGCAGAGTCATTTGGAACGACCTATGCGTGGACTACATCATCATCATCATCATCATCATCATCATCATCATCATCATCATCATCATCATCATCATCATCATCATCGCCATCACCGTCATGATCGTCATCATCACCCCTGCCGGTACACCCCTCACACGTTTCGTGGCCCCATAGGGAGCTCCACCGACGGCCCCAGTGGGGGTGTCCGCATGCGTCCGCCACACCCAGCATAGCGCTTCGTGGCCCCATAGGGAGCTCCACCAAAGGCCCCAGTAGGGGTGCCCGCATGCGTCCGCCACACCCAGCACAGCGCTTCGTGGCCCCATAAGGGAGCTCCACCGAAGGCGCCAGGGGGGGGCCCGCATGCGTCCGCCACACCCAGCACGGCGTTTCGTGACCCCATAGGGAGCTCCACCGAAGGTCCCAGTGGGGGTGCCCGCATGCGCCCGCCACACCCAGCACAGCGTTTCGCGGCCCCATGGGGAGCTCCACCGAGGGCCCCAGCGGGGGTGCCCGCATGCGACCGCCACACCCAGCACAGCGTTCCCGTGGTCCCATAGGGAGCTCCACCGAAGGCCCCAGTGGGGGTGCCCGCATGCGTCCGCCACGCCCAGCGCAGCGCTTCGTGGCCCCATAGGGAGCCACACCAAAGGCCCCAGTAGGGGTGCCCGCATGCGTCCGCCACACCCAGCATGGCGCTTCGTGGCCCCATAAGGGAGCTCCACCGAAGGCCCCAGGGGGGGGCCCGCATGCGTCCGCCACACCCAGCACGGCGCTTCGTGACCCCATAGGGAGCTCCACCGAAGGCCCCAGTGGGGGTGCCCGCATGCGCCCGCCACACCCAGCACAGCGCTTCGCGGCCCCATGGGGAGCTCCCACCGAGGGCCCCAGCGGGGGTGCCCGCATGCGACCGCCACACCCAGCACAGCGTTCCCGTGGTCCCATAGGGAGCTCCACCGAAGGCCCCAGTGGGGGTGCCCGCATGCGTCCGCCACGCCCAGCGCAGCGCTTCGTGGCCCCATAGGGAGCCACACCAAAGGCCCCAGTAGGGGTGCCCGCATGCGTCCGCCACACCCAGCATAGCGGTTCGTGGCCCCATAGGGAGCTCCACCGAAGGCCCCAGTGGGGGGGCCCGCATGCGTCCGCCACGCCTAGCACAGCGTTTCGTGCCCCCATAGGGAGCTCCACCGACGGTCCCAGTGGGGGTGCCCGCATGCGTCCGCCACACCCAGCTTAGCGCTCCGTGGCCCAATAGGGGCTCCACCGAAGGCCCCAATTGGGGTGCCCGCACGCGTCCGCCACACCCCTTACGGCGCGCCCCTCACGCGTGTCGTGTCTCAACGATAACGGCACCCACAATGCGTTACTCACAACTGAATATGGTTGGGTCCTTCGCCAGGATAATTTGTTGTCACGTCCACAATCCGCCTGTAGACGGACGTGCCCGACCTAAGGTTTGCATGGCCCCCCGGCCAGAGCGTCCCCGACCACCTGACCCCTTTGCCGCCGTTTTTGTCACGCATTGTGTTGCTGGTCGGCCCTGGCCCCTGCCTCCCCCCAGTCTGCTTGCGCAACTGTCAGCAGCCAAATGTCAAAACCAAGAATGAATTATCCTGGCGAAGGACCCAACCATATGCAGTTGTGACTACCACGATTGTGAATATCTTCTTCGGTGGCGATCCCTATGGGAACACGAACCGTGCGAGGGGCGTGCCGACATATGTGGCGGGGTACACAACACGAACGGAAACGATAGGCTTGAGCACAGGGGACTGAGCGCGGGTGAGACTGAGCGCGAGCGCGTTTGATTGTGATTGCGTCTGCGTGTGGGTAAGTCTACGTGCATGAATGCGAGCATGGATACGCCCAGTGTAAATGCATGAGACTGTGAATGCTGGGCGTGGCGGGGGCCTAACGGGCCACGAAGCGTGTGAGGGGCGTACTGGATGTGGCGGACGCATGTGGCCACCCCCACTGGGGCGATGGGTGGAGCTCCCTATGGGGCCACGAAACGCTGTACTGGGTGTGGCGGACGCATGCGGAGAACCCCACTGGGGCCTTGGGTGGAGCTCCCTATGGGGCCACGAAGCGGAGTACTGGGTGTGGCGGACGCATGTGGCCACCCCCACTGGGGCCTTGGGTGGGGCTCCCTATGGGGCCACGAAACGGTGTACTGGGCGTGGCGGACGCGTGCGGGCACCCCCAGTGGGCTTTCGGTGGAACTCACCATGGGGCCACGAAGCGCTGTTCTGGGTTCGGCGGACGCATGTGGCCACCCCCATTGGGGCGTTGGGTGGAGCTCCCTATGGGGCCACGAAACGCTGTACTGGGTTTGGCGGACGCATGTGGCCACCCCCCTTGGGGCGTTGGGTGGAGCTCCCTATGGGGCCACGAAACGATGTACTGGGTGTGGCGGACGCATGTGGCCACCCCCACTGGGGCCTTAGGTGGAGCTCCCTATGGACCACGAAACGCTGTATTGGGTGTGGCGGACGCATGTGGCCACCCCCACTGGGGCCTTGGGTGGAGCTCCCGATAGGGGCCACGAAACGCTGTACTGGGTGTGGCGGACGCATGTGGCCACCCCGATTGGGGCGTTGGGTGGAGCTCCCTATGGGGCCACGAAGCGCTGTACTGGGTGTTGTGGCCACCCCCGCTGGGGCCTTAAGTGGAGCTTCATTTGGGGTCACGAAACGCTGGACTGGGTGTGGCGGACGCATGTGGCCACCCCCACTGGGACGTTGGGTGGAGCTCCCTATGGGCCCACGGAACGCTGTATTGGGTGTGGCGGACGCATGTGGCCAGCCCCGCTGGGGCCTTGGGTGGAGCTCCCTTTGGGGTCACGAAACGCTGTACTGGGTGTGGCGGACGCATGTGGCCACCCCCATTGGGGCCTTAGGTGGAGCTCCCCATGGGGCTACGAGAAACGTTGTACTGGGTCGGTGAAACGCAGGGAGGAGGGGGGAGGGGGAGGAGGGAGGAGGGACGCGGGAGGGAGGAGACGCGGGGACCGTCTCTTCAAAACGAGGACCCAACACCACAGGATGGCTGGGACAAAAGCGCTCCCCTTCGGCCCCGACTCCCCCCCCCCTCGAGTCGGACCAGCAGGAGGTAGACGGTCGGGAACTTGTGGATAGCGTGTCGCTCCGCCAGATTTGGACACGCCATCCATTTCCCGAGCCTCTTCCTCCCCCTCCTCCTCCTCCTCCTCCTCCTCCTCCTCCTCCTCCTCCGCCTCATCCTCCTCCTCCTCATCCACCTCCTCCTCCTCCTCCTCCTGCTCCTCCTCCTCCGCCTCCTCCTCCTCCTCCTCCTCCTGGTCCCAAGCCGTCAATTTCCCGAGCCTTTCCGAGCCTCCCGCCCATCCGGAGAGAAGCTACACGCTATCCGCTCGGAGGGCCACAGCGTGTCGCCGGAGCCGCCGCCGCGACGCGCTGTCCCAAAGCTCCTCACGGTAGGGAAACGAGGAAGATCAGGCGAAGGATATGGAGAGGAGGAGGAGGAGGAGGAGGAGGAGGAGGAGGAGGAGGAGGAGGAGGAGGAGGGCAGGTAGGAGGCTGCTGCTGACCCAGACCTCCGGCGATGAAGCATGGTTTCAATCCCGGCGCTGTTCACCGATTTCCGCCTTCAGGGACGGTTGTCGGGCCCCTGGATTCGAGCAGAATCGAGGAAGTGCAGGCATGGATTGCAAGGCGCGTGAGGCGCCAGGATCGGCGCGCCTTGTCGCCGAGTGGGGCGGCGCTGCTGGCTCCATGTCGTCAATGTCTCGTGGAGTGCTTTGCCCGATCTGTGGTTCTGGCGGCCGCGCGCTAGACCGGCAGATCCGACATCCATGTCGGCGTGCGACCAGCAGACGCGGTGGGGAGGTGGAGGAGGAGGAGGAGGAGGAGGAGGAGGAGGAGGAGGAGGAGGAAGTGGAGGAGGTGGAGGAGGTGGAGGCGGAGGAGGAGACGGAGGAGGAGGAGGAGGAGGAGGAGGAGGAGGAGGAGGAGGAGGAGGAGGAGGAGGAGGAGGAGGAGGAGGAGGGGCGGGGGAGCGGGAGAAGGCCATGGAAGTATCGGGGAGAGGGATCGGGAGAGGGAAGCGGCCGCGGGCGCGGCGGGGGAGGAGGATGGGGTCGGACGACAATGGAAGACATTCCTCGGCGCACCAGCGCCATAAAAGCCAGCCACGTGAGCCGATTCGTTATTTTCACCCCTCCGGCTCGGTTAGACTCGCTTCCGAAGCGCCTCTGGTTCGGTTCCGTATCGCAGGCCCTCTGGTTTGGTTCGGTTCGGCTCGGCATCGTAAATTGCATTTTCAGGTTTGGCGCGTTGCGGCATGGTTGTTGTTTCTGGAACGGTCCAGTTCCCCCCCTTTGACAATCCCTCCGGTTGACACCCGTTCTGACCCTATGACCCCCCCATTGACGCCCCCCCCCCCCATGACCCCCCTGACTCCCCTGACCTCCCCCCCGTGCGACCGCTCGGGTCGGAGTCGGTTGCGCTTCGAGATGCTTCGAGTTCGAGGTGTCGTCCGAGGGAGGAGGAGAAGATGCAGGCGACGGATCGGGAGGAGCAGCCAGAGGAGAGGAGGCCAGAGATGAGGAAAGCGGTTTGGTCCAGATTGGCCTCGAATTGAAGCAGGGTCGGTTCGTTTCGTGTTCAAAGAACGACCACAAGTCGGGCCGCTTGGTCCTGGTTCGGCTCGGTTCTCGTATGGACTACCTCGTGTGGGTGTTGAAAGTAATTTGACATGCACTTTCATGTGCTCTTGCAAACCAGCATCGCAGATTCCCTTTTATGTATGTTTACAATCCGGGCGGAACGCAAAAGGGATCCCCCCAAAAAAACTGACTCCTGGGATCTGGGGCTTTGGGACCCTCTGGACGGGCCTCGAAGCGGCCCCCCGGGCCTCGCAGGGCGTTTTGCCAAGCCTTCCCAGCACACCTAAAGCGATCAGGGGGGTCATCGGAGACGTCCCACAGACCCCCAAGACAGCACAAGAGCGCTCCAAAAGTGACCGACGTGACCTCCAGATGGCCCAAGAGGCCTCCAGGACGGTCCCAAAGAGGCCTCCAAGAGCACTCCCAAGAATCCGTAGCCATTTTGGCTCAAGCCATTGTGGCTCAAGGGAGGCCTCGCTTCCTTCAGGTGAGAAGGCGCAATCATTTGACCTGCTGACAGCAGGCGGGCGCGAATCTGACCAGCATGTCGAAGACTCCCATGACTCTGCCGAGAAGGCTTGGATTGTTTTTCGAATTGCCCACGCTTTGTATCATGATCGTGACCATGGTTGCACTTTCTTGGCCGCTGGTGGTTGCCTTGCGAGGCTGCCAGGGATGGAGCCTGGTCGAGTTGTGGAAGCCACCTGCCGAATCAGAGCAGTCGACGTCATCAGAAAGTACCCTCAAGGAGATTGAAGCGGAGGAGTCTCTTGGGTCCGCAGAGAACAGCGAGGCTGGCGAGGATGCTGAGAACCGTGCAGTTGGCGTTCTGAGGATGAGTCCTGGACTGAGTCCAACAGTTCACCCGGGTCCCAAGCCCTGGTCCAGGACCCAGACGGTTACCAGTCCATCGGTCACCAGGCGCACAGCGGGACCCTTGGGAAAGCCGACCGCTCTGATCCATATCGGGCCGTCCAAGACGGGGACGTCGTACATCCAAAGTGCCTTGATGGCGTCCCGGGACAAACTCCTCGGAATGAATATACTACGTGCCGCCGGTGGAGGGACGTCAAAAGCCAGCGCATCATTTTCTTGCGCAACCAACTCGAAACCAGGCCGCCATGACAGCCTTCCAGGATAAGCTCAGCGAGGCAGTGGCTAAAGGCCAGCACGTGATCGTCAGCTCCGAGGCGCTTTCCCTCGTGAGTCCAAAGTTGATATCGTCGCTGAAATCTTTATTTTCGAAGTTTGACATCAAGGTGGTGCTCACTTACCGGCCATTCCTCGGTCGGACGTGGTCTGCGTACAAGCAGCACCTCAGTCAACACAACCCCCGCGAAATCGGCGTGTCGTTCGCCGAATATTATGGGAAGGCATCCCGATCAGGGACAGATGGCGCAGGATTGTGTGGGTACGCCGCCAGCAACTATATTCAAGGATTTGGCCGTGGCAGCGTTTTCATATTAGATTACCTGGGGGCACAGAAAGACGGCGACATTGTGAATATGCTGCTGTCTGCCGTTGATTTACCGACTTTCGAGGAGCCGCTCGAACGAGTCCACGTCGTGCCAGGATTGACTTCCGACCAGGCTGTTTATTTCCAAATGTGGCACTTATTCTGGAAATACATGTTTGAGCATCACCACTGCGTATTGGAGATGCCGCCGAGGCAAATGCTCGCGTACAAGGTTGACGCGATGGTCAAGCACCACACCATGCCGAGGAAGTGTTTGGACATGGAGCCGATGAAGAAATACGCACTCAAAATGGATGCCAATTTCCGAGCTGCGTTTGGAGACCGCATGTTGCACTTCCGCCCAGATTTGTCAGATAATGAGACTACACATTTCGAGATCTGCGAGCTAGACCACCAGATTGTCAGGATGGACTGGAATGATTTGTTCGAGAAGCATGCCGAAGCTCTTTTGAGCAACTCATGCCAGAAGCAGGAGAAGCGGTGACCAGATCGAGTTGCACCTCAGGAGCGTCTGGTCGAGCGCAGTTGGAGGAGCCCCCGAAACATCGGAATGATGTCTCGCACTGTCGTTCCCCTTCTGCTGTGTTTTCTGCTGCTGCTGCTTTCCGCAGCGAGGCTGCTGCTGCAGTCTCTGGCGCCGCTCCTCTCTGGCGGCGGCTGCCGTGGCAGCCTCGCCCTGCCGGATCCGCCCTACTTTGGGGAAATTCGTAAGTAGGGCTTGGAATTTCCGCCTTACTTTTCAAGCCCCGCTGATGCCAATTTCCGCCCTACTTTTCTGTTGTTGTTTCCGCCCTACTTCTGTGGATTTTCGCCCCATTCTATGTTGGGTGCAGAAATTTCCGCCCTACTTGTTCGGCTCCTTGTAGGTGGATTTCCGACGCAATTTGAAGTTGGAAAAAAGCCAAAGTAGGGCGGATCTGGAGTCAGGGCAGCCTCCGTGCCGCGGCCTGGTGCGGGGAGCCGTGGCGTGCCCTCTCAGAGAGCGGCGATCCGATGCGGCCCGAGGCCTGCATGGCGCTGGCGCGCATCCTGGCGCAGCCCATGCGATTCGAACTCGACTCCGCGCCGACGCGGCCCGATCCGGCGCACGTCCCGATCCGAGCCGAACTTCCGAGTCGATGGCCCCCTGGTCGCCCCCCCCGTCTGCTGTGCGCTCTGGTGGTTTCTGCTGCTCGCTCCGGGGCTGCTGCTGGCAGCCTCTGCCGCCACGATCTCTTCTCTGGCGGCGGCCGGTGTCAGCGCCAGGTGCTGCTGCCGCTACAGCCTCGGCCTCCATGCCACGGCCTGGCTCGGGAGAGGCCCAGGCCCCCTCCCGAGTCGGGGGGAATTCCCGGCGGCAGTCTTTTCGCTAGTTGCAGCCTCTTGAGGCCCTTGCAGTCGAGCACTTGCGAAACCTCCCCCCGAGAATAGCTGGGCCAGCGCTTCTTCACCAACCCCTGCCGGCAAGCTGGCCCAGTCTCTTGAGCACACGCTCGCCCCTCCAGCATGAACGGCAGACATGGACCCAGGCTTGTTTTCAAGAGGTTTCCAGCAATCCGTCCCCGATTTCTGAAGCGAGAATTGTCTTGATCGGATTTTCGGCTGCACTCCAGGGCAACGCTGGGGGGGGATAGGCATAGGGGGTCTCGCGTTGACCCCGAATCGCGGATTGATCGCCGACAAGGGTCTGAGCCTCACCTCGCCCAGAAACGTGCGGATTTGCTATCGAGGACCTATCGCCGATCTATCGGCGATGCATGGCCGATTCCAGTTCCCCCCTATTTGCCGGTCTCTCGCTACCGTTGCCCCTCACTTCCCATGCCTCGGGATCGTCAAACAACGATTCGGGACGAAGCATCCCAAATGACTGGTGACAGGGTGCCAACTCGAGCCAGCCTTGGTAGGATCTTCGACGGCACGATGTTGAAAAAGGCTCCGGTGCCTTCGAGCCGCAGCCCCTGACTCAGGAGGGGAAAAAACACAGACACAATGAATCGTCGATCCCCAGGAAAATATACATATAACGGCGCACCGGGTCCGGGGGCCCGCGGCCGGGACCCCGACCACAAATGTGGGCCCCGGGGGGCCCGGAGGCTCGTCGGGGCTTGCCAGAGGCCTCCCCGGTCAGACAAGACGGCCCAAGATGCTGAAGATGGCCTCCAGACGTCCAAGGACGCCCCCAAGAGGCCCCAAGAAGCCTCCAACATGCGTCCCAAGAGGGCCCCTAGACGCAAAAATTGGCCCATTCCCATCGTAAAACGTACATTTTCAACAAAGTTGCCTTTTGGGCTTTCCGACGTTACAGGACGGCCCAAGAGGCGCCCAAGACCGCCCCAAGACGGCCCAAGAAGCTTCCAAGAGGGCCCCAGGACAGCCCAAGAGGGCCCCAAGACGGCCCAAGAGGCGCCCAAGATGGCCCAAGAGGGCCCCAAGACGGGCCCAAGAGGGGGCCCAGAGGGGGACCACGAACCGCAAGCTCGAGCCTTCCGCCCCAAGAGGCCGCCAGGAGGCCCCAAGGAGGCCCCTCAAGAGGCCCCAGGAGACCCCCAAGAGGCCCAAAGGAGGCCCCGAGAAGCCCCAAATCGGCCCCCAAAATGCTTCGAACCTGCTTCCAGGAGGCCCCCGACAGGTTCAGAGGCTCCCGAGAAGCTACGTCAAACTCCCAGCGAGCGGCCGGACGAGGCCCCCCAAAAAATCCCAAGAGGGTTCCAGTATTTGTATCTTTCAGCGCTCTCTGGCCTTCTTCCCCCTGCCCCCTTCCCTGCGACTTTCGTTGACTCAAGCTCGCCTCCTCTCCATTGCCTCTCTCTGCCTCTCTCTCTCTCTGTTTTTTTTTTTTTTTTCTCTCTCTCTCTCTCTCCATCCATCTCTCTCTCTCTCTCTTTCCTTCGCTCTCTGTCTGTCTGTCTCTCTCTGCCTCTCTTTCTCTCTATCTTTCTCTCTCTTCCTTTCAGATTCCGTGTCCTTGCGACCTTCTGCAGTCCCCGACGTCGCCATGGCTGGATCCGCTCGAGCGTGTCTTGTGATGTGCGGCGGTGCGAAGCCCGTCCCACTGATCAAGGCACAGGTACGAAATGATGGGTCCATCATTTCTTGCCTTCCCATGTGCGTTTTCCCAATCGATTCCTGGGCCCGAGGTCGCAAAAATTACGACGTCGGAGGTCTGGGGAGGCGGGAAGCACGACCTGGACCTCCGACGTCTTGGAAAAATCACGACGGCGGTTTTTGTCAATTTTCGGGCGTCCTGAGCCTCGGAGGCCGCCGCCTCCGACCCCCCATGGGAGGACGGGGCGGCCGGGGAGGTCCAAAAAAATCCAGGAGGGCCTCCAAAGGCTCCCAAGACGGCCCAAGCGGGCCCTGAGTCGCCGAAAGACCGCTCCAGGACGCCCAAGAAAGGCCCAAGACGGCCCGAGAGGCCCCCCAAGGCACTCCACGACGCTTCAAGACGCCTCTCCAGAGCGCTTCAAGAGGCCAAGATCGTCAATTTTACGAAGGTTTTCGAACGATTTTGACCTTCCAGCTTTTTCGGCTGTCCGGCGTTCCACGACGGCTCAATAGGCCCCCAAGAGCGCCCCAAGACGGTCCAAGAGGGCCCCAGGACGGCCCCAGAGTCGCCCAAGACAGCCCCACAGAGCGCCAAAACGACCCCAAGATGCGCCCAAGAGGGGGACCACGACTCCAAAATTCGACCCTCCCGCTTGAAGAGTGCCCCAGGAGGACCTAAGGAGCCCCCAAGAGGCCCCAGGAGGCCTCCAAGAGGCACCCAGGAGGCCCGAACGAGGCCTGAAGAGGCCACAAAACAGCCCCGAGGAGGCCCCACAACGGTCCCAAAACGGCTACCGAGAAGCTGCGAAACTGCCTTCACGACGTCCCCGACAGGCCAACCACGAGATCCAAACCAACACCCATGAGGCCTCTGACCCACCACCCAGGGCACGGTGGCGGGGGCAGTGACAGCACTTGTGCACAGCATGTTCCGGCGAGAGCCTTCCAGAACACGCTGCAGGAGGAGGAGGAAGATCAGGAGGAGAGAGAGTTGGAGTGGGAGGAGGAGGAGGGGGACGAGGAGATGGAAGAGGCCTCCAAGACAGCTCCAAGATAGCCGAAGAGGCTTCCAAGAGGGCCCTGGGCGGCCCACGAGGGCCCCAAGGCGGTGCCTGAGGCGCCCAAGACGACCCGAGAGGGCCCCAATACGGCTCCAAGAGAGGCCCAACAAGGGAAACACGAACCGAGAATCCGAGCTTTCTACCCCGAGAGGTTCTCGGGAAGTCCCAAGAGGCCCCCAATCGGATCCAAGAGGCCCCCAAGAAACTCCCAAGAGGGCCGACGAGGTTCCAAGAAATCTCCCAAGATGGCCCCAAGAGGCACAACTCATCGTGTTAAGATTGGGCTTTGACGGGTTTTCATGTTTTTGTTTCTGCCTTTTGGCATCCCGATGCTCCAAGACGGCCCAAGAGGCTTCCAATACCGCTCCAATATAGAGGAAGAGGTCTCCAAGAGACCCCAAGACTGCCCGCGAGGGCCCCAAGACGGTGCTTGAGGCGCCCAAGACGGCCCGAGAGGGCCCCAAGAGCCCCAAGAGAGGCCCAAGAAGGGGAACGCGACCCAACAGCAGAGCGTTCCCCCCAAAAGGCCCACAGGAGGCCGCAAGAGGCCCCCAAGTGGTCTTAAAGGCCCCTAGGAGACGTCCAAGAGGTTTTAAAATAGCCCAAGAGAGCCCTCGATGCGCCGAAACTGCTTCCAGCAGGCCCCCGGGAGGCTTCCGGATTGCCTCAATCTGGCCGCAGGTGGCCTCAAGTCGGGCCTCCACGCAGCCAAGACGGCCAATGACGGCTTCAGATTGCAGAACCGATGCCCCCAAGGGACCCTCAGACGCCCCCCCAAGAAGCACCCAAGAGGTGCCTCCAACAGCCAGTTGACGAAGCATGCGGAACACCCCAGAAGCTCCTCAGATGCCGTCGCGCGCCTGTGCTTGATAGCGTTGTCCAAGATCGTCCAGCGCCCCCCCGGCCTGGGCTAGAACCTGAGCGCGCGCGAAGCGCGCGCGCGATGTTTCTAGCCCAGGGGCCCGAAAACAGCTGCCCGACACTCCATGGGAGTACCGGGGCTCATTTCCCCTTTGTTTTTATTGGGTTTCGGCGTCCCGGGCCTCGGAGGCCGCCGCGATGGTCCCGGACATTTTCCAGATCCTCGGCGCGGGCTCCAAGACCATTCCGCAGAGGGCTCCAACAGGCTCCAGGGCAGCCCAAGAGGGCTCCAAGACGGCTCCAGGAACGACTGCAGGGTCTCATTTTTCTTGTGTTTTCTGCAAGACGGCTCCAGGCAGACTGCATGTCTTATGAGGATGGCTTCCGCCTCTTGCCCCGATCATCCCAAACTGCCTGAACGGTTCCCCAAACCCAGCGCTTGCCCAAGCGCGTTCCGGACGGTCTTCGCCGGAACGCGCTGGAATGATCACGCGCTGCGGTTTCCCATGCCAACGTCCTCGGACGTGGGTGCCCTGCCACGAGCGCGTTCCGGGAAGATGCTCCCGGAACGCGCTGAAAAGATATGGCCACATCTCGGGGACGCTCCCGACACCGCTCCCCCAGCCTTTCCGGGCAGCCTCCACAGCGCTCCAGGAGGGCCCAAGACACCCCCCAGGAGCCCCCAGAATGCGAAAGGATGGCCCAAGACGCTCCCGAGCAGCCCAAGTCAGCCTTCCGACGTCTCTCGAGGCTCCCAGGTGGCCTCCAAGAGACCCCAAGAAGTCTGATGGGTATCACGGTACGGCCCGAAGAGGCCAAAGTCGTATATGTTCAATTGTCTTTTCAATGTTTTTGACTTCTCGCG